ATAAACCAAACTCACAGGATTATGATCTGAAAAAGTTATTGGTAATATCTCTACTTTAGAAACCTTAGTAGCCAAATTCTTTGAAATCCATATTGTATATATTCTTGAAAAGGTTCTATGTCTTTTACAAAAGTAGAATAAAAGACTTGAATTGCCATTTTTCTGTCTCTATATGTCCACAAGCCCTAAATTGTCCATAAAATCAAAGGAAACTTTTGGTAACTTGCTTTGAGTGATTTTAATATTTTTCTCAGAAGTTCTAAGCGGTTGTGGGGAGATCACTCCATTCTATCAAATACCAATTCTCATAAGAGAAACCTATCAGTCTCTCCTTTAAAGAACAGTACTTTATCCTCATTTAAGGTATAAATTCCTAATATCAGAGTTTTAGTCCCATACAAATTAACTTCTACCCCAACAAATCTGCCATGCTCATCAGTCAGTACAAGTTCTGGTTTTAGTTGGGGATTTATATACAAAATAACTGAATTTCTTTTTTTTTTATTTCTGCTGAAATAAATTATTCACTCAAATTTTTATAAATCAAATATTTTATGTCCTTTTTTTCAATATGTGTCTCTTGTAGGCAAATTATATTTTAATTTTTTTAAATAATGAAATATTTTTTTCTCTCTTGAGGAGCATTTGTTCCATTTATATTCCATGTTAAACATTTGTAATCCATAATCAAGCCAAAAATTTAGAAAAGTCAGTACCTCTAGCACCTAGTTCAGTATCATCCCTTTCAGTTTCCTGTTGCATCTGTTGAAGATTTTGTGTAGTTTCATCTGAAACTCCTCAAATTCTTCTTTAAATTTTTCTAAAAATTTCCACACCTTCTTATTGCAATGTTTATATGCATCCCATCCTACAAGTCACTTCTTTTGCAGAACTATTATTTCATGCAATCTGAAAAGTCCTCTTGGTTGAACAAAGAAATATAGAGCTCAGCTTTCTCCCTCCACTACACATGCTAAACTTTCAGCTCAGTGCAACCCAATAAAAGGAATAAACAGCTCTTTGACTCTACAGTATGAGCAAGATGCTACCCAGGGATAGGAGAAGCCTGAGAATTTTGTTTGGTCCACTTCATCATATTTTATGAAAAAATATATACACATTTTCTTGCAGAGTTTTGTTAAAATAATCTTCTCCATAACCCTACATAGAAGCTGGATGGAATCCACCAATGAATAATGTCAAGCTGACATGGACTAAAAATGGCTTGACTCATACATCTCTATCTATAATTAATTCTGCCCTTTACAGTGAATGGGAGCTTCATTTTCTTTTTAAATTCTGTCTTCCTACACAATAAGAAAAGCCATCACCTTCATGTAGAACACGAGTAGGCTTCATTTTTCAGCCTGGAACCACAGCGTTATTTCTTGCCCAAGCTAAGGTCCACAAAAGGCACAGCCAGTAATGTTGTTACATCATCATAGCAGGCAAGACCAAGACTTTTTAATTCCCTTTGTGTGTGCACACATGTGAGGGGAATGGATTAAGAGGCAAAATTAGTATTGTAAACCATGCAGATGATTAAGGAACTCTTTTAGTCATTTAACCACCACAGACCATAAAAAAGAGGCATAATTATTTGGAAGCTGGGGATTTTTCTGAGGGTTACGGCACTCACTTTTCCCCTTAAACTACCTTCAAAACTTAAAACACACAAAAGATATCCAGAAATTTCAGTCCCATCCACTCTATCCCAACCATAAAAGGGGTACTGGAGACACATGTTACAAGCTACCTTCCCAGATAGGATCATCAGGGAAAACACTTTTAATTATATCAATTTAATTGGGTAATTAATTGACTAACCAGTCAAAAGTTGGAAGTTCTTTTGACTGAAAATTATTTACTTGAGAGCTCTAATTTTGTTACTAAGCAGAAGATGGTGCAAAACATTATAACAGTAAAAATACTGAAGGAGTCTTTTGAAGAGAGGAATCAAAGAATAGTAGCCACAATATCAACAATGTCAATAGTGATGTCTGCTTCTGTGGATTGATTATGTCCAAAATATATTATTGAAGAAATGTCAGATGAAGAATAAATTTTATCTGACAAGATAAAGATGGTATCAAAAATGGATTTACAACTGATAGGCCAAGAAAATGATTTAGAAAAGGATGTTTCACTGGATCTGCAAAAGAAATTGGCTGAGGTTTTAAAATTTAAAAGGGAAATACAAAACTGGATCTGCAAAAGAAATTGGCTGAGGTTTTAAAATTTAAAAGGGAAATACAAAACTGGATCTGCAAAAGAAATTGGCTGAGGTTTTAAAATTTAAAAGGGAAATACAAATGACAAACCAAGAGAGTGACCTGTACAATTTTTTTCCTATGGATTTACAAAAGAGGCTTATCAAAGTCTTGTACAAAGGACAAAGAAGAAATGAAGAGAAATCAAATTCTACAGCAACATTTGAATGAAAAGGAAGATTAAGACTTTTAGAAGTAAAAGGAAGGAATATAAAGTCAGTTTACTTGATCAAGGTTAAAATTATACATTGTTACTTCTGGTTACCCTTTATGGATTTTCTGCTGACACCAGGACTGAAAAGATGATGTTTTATGGATTTGTTTATAGATAAGAGATGGAATATGGGATGAAGAGGTAAATGTTTGTAACCTTAGAGAGGGCGAAGAGTTACTAACTTGTTTATACTTGTGATGAAGGTTGGAAGTCACTTCTTTATATATTTCTTTTCTCTTTATTATATTCTTTTCCTTTTCTTCTCTCTCTCTTTTTCTTTCTTTTTCCTTGCACTTTTACTCCTTCTCTCTATTCTCCTCTCTTTCCTTTAGTTTGTATTAGATTTTACTGTTGTAATCAAAATTCTTAATAAAAATTATTTATACACTCACACACACACATACCTAAGCAGAATTCTTTACTGGCTTTATAAAGATCTCAGTTCCTATACAGTTCATGCGGAGCTTTGATTTTTATCTATATAACCGAGCTAACAAAAATTCCCCTAATCTAGATGTCCAATTAATGAGCTCCTCAGTTTAAGTAAAGGCATTACTTGGCACATACTTCTTTTACACGTTTCCTCTGTTAATGTAAAATGGTCCAATTTCATATTAGCTATGCTGCACAATGTTTGCTTTCATTAATCCCAATTCCCATTTTCTCTTAAGGTTACGACTCCATCACTGATGAAGCAGTCAGGACTTTCCTTGGAGAAAATTCACCAGCTGTTCCAGTGGCTGAAGTTGGCAAGCCTCAGCCAGACATCCGTTCAATCAAGTTCAGACTTAGGGGAGAGTGTTAACACAGAGAGCGGCAGTGTCCCTGCTGAATCAAAAATGAAAGATGAATGTCCTACCCAAAGCTGTTCTAGCTTAACAGATGACGAGAGTCTTAGAAGGGAGTACTTCAGTGAGAATGACCTCTGTGGGGTTTCAGATCCCTCTCTAAATGAGAGGAGCTTTGCAGGCAGAGACCGCAGGCCTTTGCAGGAAGAATTTTGTTATGAAGCTGAAAGCCCAGATGAAGCAGCTCTAGTCCATGCAGCCCATGCCTACCAGTTTACATTAGTCTCCAGGACTGCTGAACAAGTGGCTGTGAAGCTGCCAGAAGGGACTGTCCTGACCTTTGACCTCTTGTTCACACTGGGTTTTGATTCCAGCAGGAAAAGGATGTCGGTGGTAGTGAGGCATCCCCTCACCAAAGAAATCATAGTCTATACCAAAGGGGCAGATTCGGCCATAATGGATCTATTGGAAGACCCTACCAGAGGTACAAAGCTAATGAATTATCAAGAAGGCATAGGTTGGGTTTTTTAATTTATTTATTTATATTTCAAATCTGGTCACCGCCCATCTCACTAGGAAGTGACTCTGGGCAGTTTTCAGTAATTTGTTGAATAATATCCCTGAGATTTACAGACTTCAGTTTGCAGCAGAAACAATAGTCCTAGAAACCTTTGCAGTGCAAATCAGAGCAGGGGTGTTGGTTTATATAATTAGAAAGGACTTAAAATATTGAACAGACTAATTAAGATTTGGAGAAAGCCTACTTTAATTTATTTTTATGAGCACTATATTAAAATAGTGAGAAACGTGCATTGTGATTCTGTAATAGGGGAAGAGATACAAACTGGTAATTAACAGTAAGCTGTTAATAATAGTAATCACATTCTAGGGCAGGGGAAGGGGACCCCATGGCCTGCAGAGCTTTGAGACTACTACTCTGAGCAGCCCTAGCTTAGATGCCCAAGGCTGGAAAATGCTATAAGTTCAGCAGCATCTTAAAAGCCATCAGTTGCCCAAGTTAGATGTAATTATTAAAGAGCAAGTTCCTTCTGTGCATGGGCAAAGCAGAGAGAGTTGGGCATCACATGTGGGAAATGTTTAAGTCTTGACAGGAAAGAGGGGGAAATGCCCACAAGTAGTGTGCCTCAGAAAAATGTCTTGGTCTTGTGCAGCAGAAGGCCACTGAAGCATTAGATAAATCTGTAGCTAGAATCAGCAGATTTTCTTTGTGTTTCACAGCTAGTACGGCCATGGAAAAAAGGATAAGAAGAGTAAGAACACAAACACAAAAACATTTAGATCTGTATGCACGTGATGGTCTGAGAACTCTATGCATAGCAAAGAAGGTAATTCTTTTTTAAAAAATGGTAATAATAGCAATAACAATAACAGCCACTTCTGTAAATGGCTTGTATTGATGCTTTGAGCCAGTTCCCTGATGGGAAAATACTTTGTTATCTAGATTAATTTCCTATTCCTTTTACTTCCCTCATCTGAATCATCTTGAAATGAAACTGAAGAAGAGTAATACTCTAATCCAGCCTTTTGACATCTGTTCTTCCTGATGCTATCCTCATTGTTACTAACTTTGGGATATCAAAAACATTTTCAATCAAATAGAGCTCCTCTGTTATTCTTTGTAACATTTGGTATTCCAGCTAGGTTGATTAATCATAGCGTAAATTACAACCTACAGCTTTTCCTGCTTTATTTTAGAAGATGCATCAAAGCCTGCATAGACATTTCTCAACTGCTCCAGAGAAAATAATATGTGGATTACAATATTTGGCCAATGATCTGGGAAAAGGGAAATGTGTTTGGAAGTTACTGTTCTCAGTAACAATTAATATTAGCTTGAAATATTGAAAAAATGCTTTCATTTTGGAACACTTACCGGACAGGAGAAAGAAACAGCAGAAAGACAGTCATCATGACCCTTAAGACTTGCAGCAGTTATCTGCAGAAGTGGGTTGCCTTTAATTCCAAAGCTATTGTTTTATTTATTAGATTAAGAGCTTGCCTTCTTACTGTATGCACAAGATGGCTAACAAGTATGGAATGCAAGGGAACTTAAAACACATTTCCAGAAGGAAAAATAGGCAGCTGGGAAATCAAACATCTATATTAATAAAACTGTTTTAGTCTAACAGGGGAAGGATGCTAAAGATGGAAGAAAGCTGGCCGCCCATAGTAGGGTGCTCCAGAATTTTTGGAACAGGTGTTTCTTGCATTCCTGCCAGATTGCCTCTGATAATGGCAGAACAGAAAAAAGACCCTCTCTCAAGGATCTTAAATCCTGAATAAGGTCATATGGGAGATTTTTTTTCTTTCAAATAGCCTGGTCCCACATTGTGGAAAGCTTTATAGGGGATAACTAGCACTTTGAACTGCAGCCAGAAACAGCTTGGAAATCAATAACGCTGTGGCAATAAGGGAGATGTGCCCACTATAACTGAAGGTCAATTGCCTGCCTGCAGCATTTTATGCCAATCAAAGTTTCTGAACCATTTTCAAAGGTTAGTTCATAGAGATTGTGTTTATAGCTGCCCCTATATGATATAATGAAGACATGTATCTTCATCTAACATCTCCAGGAATAGGTGCAGTTGGCACACTAGCTATAGCTGTGCAAATGCACTCATGACCAAATTGTGAGCACAAGGAAACATAGTTCCTTCCAACATGGATGGAATCCTGGATCCCCAATCTGTCTGTAGACCAGAAGCAACTCTTGTCTTATTTGGATGAAGCTTCCATTTGCTTTACATTGACAGTAGTGGGTATTGAATAGCCTCCTTGGATTTAGGTGGAAAAGAGGTACAGAATTACATGTCATCAGGGTTTGGCAGCATCAGATGTCAAAAATGTGAACAGGCCTCCCAAAAATGTTAGCTGCATTTTAAATAGAGTGAACACCATTATCACTTTCTGAAAACACATCTCCTAGAAGGACCTGTATCACCCTACACCAGTGTCTCCAAGTCCCATCCTATCCCAGAAAGATACTCTGGAAGGACATCTTAGTGATTAATATTATTAAGCAATATAGTATCAATATCAATAATATTAAAACAAGATAGCATTCCAGCAAAACAAAGAAGACATTTCCATGGCCTGGTTCTTGGTGCAGATCACCCACCAGAGTGATAACAAATTCTGTCAATAAGAACCTGCTACATCCAAAACACCTGGTTTGCATTGATGTAATTAAGACTTGAAGCTTTTTTTATTATTATTCCAGGCATAGAAAGTATGCTTTCCTTGCTCAGCTGATACAGTATCGTTGCTATGGAATATAAATGCCAAAGGGCAGAGCTGCTCTAGCTTAGGACTGACTTTGTTATTAAACAGGGTGAAACCCCAGATGACAGATTATGGGAGTTTTGGGGAACACTCTATACCAGGGTTTCTCAACCTTGGCAACTTTAAGACATGTGGACTTCAACTCCCAGAATTCCCCA